AAATAAATAAATTTCCTTGTATTGGTGAAAATTGCAAAGAAGTAGAACTTCAGGAGAAACTGCCTAAGAGTGCGAGAAACCATGTCAGGAGGGGACCTGAGAGCTTTTTCAGGGGATGCTATGGTTGCATCCTGCACCAAGCAGAACATTTGCCTAGATGACTTCCAGGGTCCCTTCTTCCAATTCCTGTCTAGCAAATATAATTCCCATTGAGTGGGGTTTCCATTTGAAAAATCATATGCAAAACTGCACATAAACTGGATCCAAAATGCTGCTTTAGTGAGCCTGAGTCAGTGCCACTGAGGATCTGCACAGTGGCACTGACCTTGCTTCCCTGTTGTAAAAATTCAGCCTCATTGCTTTATCACAAGATGCTTTTCAAACCCCTCAGCTTCCAAAGAGGTTTGCCCTGGGATGGTCGGGCAGGAAGCAATTCTTTTCAAAATGCAAGCCCAAAGTGGGGTCCTCTTGCATCTTGTCTAAACAATGTCGTGCATCAGAATCCATGCAAAATTCCCCATTCATGTTAAAAATAAAAGGCAAACAGGAATGATCAGATGCATATATCTGATTATAAAGATTCCCGTGTTAATGTCTGGAATATCACATTTGGCCACCCACTACAGGATTCTGACACTTTCCAAGTGATCTGATAATAAGTGCTGTATGATACTACTATACCCAAGACTGGGTATGTTCATATGTATTTTTCCATGCAAAATGTTTGCTGATAAATCCTTGCGATTTAGTTAAAAGAAAGGGAGAAGGTGTTGAGAGGTTGTTGGTCCGGGTTGACAGTCAAGGATGTGGCACACCACCTGTTTTTATGTGGTTGTGGGATTCTTCCAGGTCCGTTTCTTGGAGCAACAGAACAAAGTGCTGGAGACCAAATGGAGCCTCTTGCAGGAACAAAAGATCACCCGTCACAACATCGAGCCTTTGTTTGAAAGCTACATCGCTCTTTTAAAGAAGAAGCTGGATGATATTTTGGGACAGAGGCCACACCTAGAGTCAGAACTGAAGAACATGCAAGGTGCCGTGGAAGACTTCAGGATCAGGTGGGGCGGGCTGGAATCCAGCCGCACTCTGTGAAATATAACCAAGTAAATGCGCCAAATGAAACAGATGGAGCAGAATCCTGTGAGATTTGCAAGCCAGAATCTGGCAGTCTCATAAACGGTACACACAAGGTTGCCTTCTGCCTGTCACATGCTCAGACGTGCCAGGTTATGTATTTGGTTGTGTGTTCAGACATGTGACAGACAGACAGTAAACTACAAAACTGGCTTAGATGATTGCCTCTCTCTCTCTCTCTCTCTCTCACACACACACACACACAGAGAGAGAGAGAGAGAGAGAGAGAGAGAGAGAGAGAGAGAGAGAGAGAGAGAGAGAGAGAGAGAGAGAGAGAGAGAGAGAGAGAGAGAGAGAGAGAGAGAGAGAGAGAGAGAGAGAGAGAGAGAGAGAGAGAGAGAGAGAGAGAGAGAGAGAGATCCATCAGCCCTAGCCAACACAGCCAGTGGAGGGAAAGGCTGGGAAGTGCAGTCCAGCATCTGGAGGGCTACACTTTGCCCATACCTATTTTACAGAAGAAGAAGAAAAAAATCAGCCCTAAAACTGGATTCAGAAATGGGGATTGAATCCTCCCTGATTTTGTCCTCTCATGGTGGGGGCGCGGGGCGGGATGAGGAACTGCAGAATTATCTTCTCAGCACACAAGAGCCTGAAGGATTTTGTACACTTCTTTTCAAGAGAAGTAAGGGCTGTTTTCTGTGCAAATAAGGTGAAATTATGCAAGAAGCACTTTATGTATTTATTTATTTATTTATTTTATTGTATTTATACCCCGCCTATTTGGTCAAACGACCACTCTAGGCGGCCACTTTAAAACAAATAACGCAGCTTGCACAATATAACAATGGCAGCGACTGTGTTGCATTGGCTTTAAAGAATACGAAGTGCCAGTAAGGTTGTTTGTGACCTTTTGAACAATCATCCAGTACTCACTGTGACTTGTGTCTGTGTGTTGCTTCTTTAAGGAAAAGATCATTCGTTTTGCACATAGATTGCACAAACAGTTCTCTTTGCCTTGCTCTTGCCTGGAGGCCCCTCATCTGTTTGCACACGAAAGAAGAATTCAGTGACATTTCTTGATATCCTTAGCTCAGATATGTGCTTGCTACCAGCATTGCTTGTGCACTGCAGTTTTAGATAAGCAAACTACCCCATTTCCCTAACCTCCTCACTGTCACACCAAGTCCCAGCACCCAAACTGTACACCAGCTGTAGTTTTCTGGATATGTTAAAAGGTAATTCACAAAGATTGTGTTTCAATAGTAGGGTACAACTGTGGTCTTTTCTTTATTCATACTAGAGGGTTGTACAATTTAAAATTACAGAAGTCTATGAAATTCAGGTGAAATGAAAAACAAATTAAAATGTTAAGATAATTATTTATTTATTTTATTTATTTATGTATTTAACGTATATGCCGCCCACACTACCCGAAAGTCTCTGGGCGGCTTACAGCATTTAAAATACAATAAAAAGGCAAAATAAAAGGGCAAGATAATTAAAATGCAATTAGAATATATATTCTAAAAATTGCCGTCAGACCTACGGCTGATATTATTTCAGTTAAAAGCCATTTGGAACAGGAAGGTTTTGACCTGGCGCCGAAATGTCATCAGCGTCGGCGCCAGACGAATCTCAGTCGGGAGGGCATTCCAAACTGGTTTTGACCAGAAGCCAGCTACTTCAGTAGTGTTCTCTCAGTCATTTGGTTGATTTTCTTTTGTATGCATGGTGGGGCATAAATTGCATGCACGGAAGTGCTGCATTGATTGGATTTTTCCACAGTCACAGAAAATTCGTCCTGCATCAAAGTAGCCCCATTTTATTTGATTATTCTTTGATATTCACTTTGAAGTCTATTAAATGACTTCCAGATGCTCCAGCTAGTTTTATCCTGGTAGGAGACATTCTTCAGCATTCATCCATTTGGCAAAGTGTGTTGTTTTTGTTCTTCACAGGTTTAGCCTAACCTCTTTTGGTTTAATATTTAGTGCTTGAGATGCATGCAGAAAGCAGTTCTTCAGTTGTAACCATCGTCTAGGGAGTTGGTAGGGATGTGGTGGCACTGCGGGTTAAACCACAGAAGCCTCTGTGCTGCAAGGTCAGAAGACCAGCAGTCGTAAGATCGAATCCATGTGATGGAGTGAGCTCCCGTCGCTTGTCCCAGTTCCTGCCAACCTAGCAGTTCGAAAGCATGTAAATGGAAGTAGATAAATAGGTACCACCTCGGTGGAAAGGTAAGGCATTCCGTGTCTAGTCGCACTGGCCACATGACCACTGTCTACGGACAAACGCTGGCTCTACGGCTAGGAGACAGGGATGAGCACCACACCCTAGAGTCAGACCCAACTGAACTAAATGTCAAGGGGAACCTTTAACTTAGGGAGTTGGTGTCCATGAAATTTATGGGTTTGATGCTATATTACCTCATTTCATTCATTATTTGCTAGCCCCTCTCAACATGTTTCTGGAAGGGCAATGGCAGCCAAATAACAAACCTTTTCAATAGGTTTCAGGCAGTCAATAGTAATCTGCATGATTCATTAAGAGCTACATCCACTTATTTGACATCTGCTGATTTGCACCATATTGCATTAGCATAGTCTTCTGTGGAGTAACACAGGCACAAAGCTATTGTTCTCATTGTTTGTGGGTGTGCATCCTGTCTGACCCAGGCAGTTCCCCAAGTATGTTATTTCTGATGGTAACTTTCTGTTTGGTGTTTAGGCAATGTTTTTTGTTGATTCAGAGCGACACCCAAATACTTTGGGGTGGGCCAGTGTTCAAAAATCTTGCCTTTGCAGCTAAACTCAGAGCTTCCTCTCTGCTCCTCTGTTCTTTAAGTGGAAGGCGCACCCTTCTGTTTTCAAAGGATTTGGTTTCAGCTGGTTGTTTTTGTAACATAAAGATTTTCTAATGGAGAGATCAGCTGGTGCTCGACAGCCTCATAGGTTTCCCCATGGACTGTCAAGGCAAGATCATCAGCATAGCTGAATTTCCTAGAATATGGGATGGTTGGTTGATGATTTGTGTAAATGTTAATAATGGTGCTGGGACCCTACCCTGTGAGAGACTGTTTCGTTCAGATTTCAGATCAGAGAGGGCATAGCATGTGTTAAAAGGTCGTAGCCATTTTGAGAGATAATTAAAGCATTTCGGGAGGTCGTTATCTTATAGATACTGGGTGGTTGCTGTTGTTAAAACACATTTTCCAGAAATCAGAAATTTGGCTGCCCTGGAGGCAGCTGCCACTCCAGTTAGCCTTCTGCAAGTGTGTATTTAACGTTAGTGTTTCTTTGACCTGAGAAGCCTACACTTTTCTGAAGTGTAGCTAACCGGCCAGCGCCCACTTGATTGAGTGGCAGTGAGAGTGAGGTGTCCCATTCACCTACCATCACTTTCTGGAGAGTGACCAGCAAGAACAAATGGCACTCTCTTTTCTCCCTAACTGACCCACAGTGATAGCAATTACTAAGAACTTAACCAGTCACTTGCTGCTCAGCAGGATCTCCTGGCCATAGATTAGAATCCCACCCAGAGGAAGGGTCCAGCACGCCTCTTTTTGGTCACAGGACCACAGACCTTCTGCAGTCACAAGGATGGCATTCATCATCCTCTGACTCATTTCTGGGTGTGGCATTAATGAGTTGAACACCAGGTTCTATCAGCATGAGAAGAATGTCAGAAGGGCTAATAAAGTTGTTTGTTTCATCAAAGAAGAACATTATTGGAGTGTTAAGTGCCTTTCATGAAAGCTGGAGAAATGTCAGACAATCTTCCTCTATGGTTTAGTTCTAGGGGATGGTCCTGTAACAAGGCCCAGTCAATAACAGACCAGTTCCTGCAGCATCTTTTGGCAACTTCGTCTCTGGCAACCATTTGAGAAGCCAAAAGAGGAGCATTTGTGTTGGCTTCTCCTCAAAAGTGAAGTCAATAAAGCTAATCTGGGCATGTTCATAGTTGCATCCTTTCAGAAGCATGTCACAAAAGAGGATGCCCAGAGCCAGAACATCAAGGCACTTGAGGCTAATGTTGCTTTGTTTTAAGGCTGAGCAGAGCATGGCTGGATCTGGCATAAACTTGGCCTTCCCATAAGACATTGGCAAGACTGATCGGTGAAATCTTAAAACAGGATGCCAGCTAGGGGTAATTGGGGACTGCAATAAAACACACTTGGAAGATGCCCACACTGGGTAAGGCTGCCCTCAAACAGTGGCTGGAGACAACATTGCTAAGTAAATCCACCATATGCAGATGCTAACGTCTGCTTCCTTTAGGGAGTGGCTTCCAGCTCACTTGATTTCAGCACTACAGTTCTTCTGTTGGGGACAGCCATTTTGTTATTAGCATTGTTCAACAAACAGTCAGAACTCTTGGCAGATCAGACGACTTAGAGATCTGCCATAGAATATGGTTTACCTTCATGCCTGTTCCTGTGAAGGATGATAGAAGCCTTTGTAAAAGAAAGCCTTGTGAAAAGTCTGGGGACAGTGAAACTGAAAGAGCTTCCTTTGTATTCCTTTTTTCTCCAAATGCTAACGAGTCACACTCTTCCTTCCAAATAGATATGAAGATGAGATCAACAAGCGCACAGCTGCAGAGAATGAATTTGTGGTGCTCAAGAAGGTGAGGGATTTCAGTCCACTTGGGCCCAATGGGGTGAGAGGAATATCTTTGGTCCTCCAGATGTTTGGGCCCTCACCTTCCACAGTCCTTTGTCACTGATCATGCTGAGTAGGGATGATAGGAATTGCAGGCCCAAACATCTGGATGATCCGGGATTGCCCATGCCTGTTTTGTCCCCACGCTGTTGAGGGGAGTGCTGGTTCTGTTTGGGCTCTATCGCAAGGTTCAAGCTGCTTGATTGTGTTCTTTTCCAGGATGTGGATGCTGCCTTCATGAACAAGGTTGAGCTGGAAGCAAAAACCGATAGCCTGCATGATGAAGCCTGCTTCCTGAAGACTCTATATGATGCTGTAAGGAAGGACGTGTCATTTGTTAGATGCTAAATCATCTGGATGACCAGTCCTGGGGAGGATGGAGGTTTCGGCCCAACGTTCCAGTCTGGGGGAGGGTGACTAGAGATATGTGAATGGATTCCTTTCCTCGTAAAGCTTTGTCCAAAGCTGATACCTGGCCAAGATGGAGATTTTAGTGTCTTTTATTTCGTAAGCATTTTTTCTTCTTCCTATCTTAAACCCCTTTTTTTCGCTTTAGGAAATAGCCCAGATGCATGCCCAAATTTCGGACACCTCTGTCATTCTCCAAATGGACAACAGCCGAAGCCTGGACCTGGACAGCATCATTGCGGAGGTCAAGGCCCAGTACGAAGACATTGCCAATCGAAGCAGGGCTGAGGCAGAATCCTGGTATCAAAGTAAGGTGAGAGGGCCCAGAATTCTTGTGCAGTGGTATGAGTTTGGAAAAAAAATCAATTTTTCTTTTTCTTTTAAAACAAAAGGGGGGGTGACTGGTTTTCAGTTTTCGATAGTATACAAAATCTGTATTATTTGAAGCAGTAGGGTAGGGGCTTGCCTAGTAAAATCGATGAGACTGTGCTTTTCAGTTCCCTTTCCAGGGAGAAGAGAGGTGGCCCTTCAAATGATAATGAATGATCATTCACTTGAAAATTAAACCAGCCTAATTAGTCCTCCTTCTTGTTCTACTCAGTGGGGGCCTTTACGTCTTTTGGTGTCCTTTTATTAAAGAACTAATGTTTTTTAGCTGAAATATAAAATGGTGTACCAAACAAAATTTAGAAATACATTTTAAAAAACAAAAATCTCAGTTGGGTCATTCAAAGTCAATTAAAAACGGACTATGTCCCACTAATTAGGTGTTCAATGTTTTCACTTTTTTGGATCCTCCCCTGCAGTATGAAGAGCTGCAGCTTTCTGCTGGAAGGCATGGAGACGACCTGCGCAATACCAAGAGCGAGATCTCAGATTTGAACCGCATGATTCAGAGGCTTCACTCCGAGATTGACAATGTGAAAAAACAGGTGCTGTCTTGCATTTACCATTCAGTTTTGTAGAAGTCAAAATGTCATGGCAAAAGGGTTTTGTGTGTTGTGGGGGGTGGCTGTTTCTGTCTGGGAAGAACATTTGAAGGAGACAATGAGTGAAGAGTTTAAATAAGATGAATGATATTTCTGGAGACGGAGGTCCTTGTGTCCCTAGATTTCCACTCCATTTTTTTCCCTCCATTTAAAATTTACAACCTAGAATGGAATAACAGGGAATATTCCAAGTAGTTTTGAAGCCATGGAAGTACTAGAATTCCCCATCTTTCTTTTCTCCCAAGGAAAAAAAACAGATGCAGGGGGGACGACCGTGATTATTTTCATATTAAGCCTACATTTGTTTCCTTGCTACGGCAGTATAAAATGCTCCATTCATCACTTAGTATATAAAATTGCAACCATTTGGCGTATTTATGAAATGAATAAGTATAAAACCTTGTATGCCGGCAAAATTGTGAATACACAAGTGGTTAAACTACAGTACTGCAGTGAAGACTCTCACCATGACCCAAGTTACAATCCCAGCAGGCGCAGGTAGCCAGCTCAAGGTTGACTGAGCCTTCCATTCTTCCTGGGTTGGTAAACTGAGTACGGTGGTGGGGCAATATTTAGCCTGCATAATTGTAAACCACCCAGGCAGTGATTTAAGCCCTGTTGGTCAGTATATAAGCAGAATGCTTTGCATTGCTTTACATATTAAAGAGAGACAATGAGCCACTGGTGTCTGTACTATCTGATCACATGTGTCTTAGCTTTGGATGTCAGAGAAGGAGGGGAAGGAAGTAAAAGCAGGAATTGCAATTGTTTAAAAAAACAGAATTTGTTGTTCAGTGCTGTCAAGTCAGAACGGACATACGGCGGTCCTAATAGGGGTTTCAAGGTAAGTGAGATATTTAAGGAGTGATTTTACCACTTCTACCAGCATTCCTTTTGAGTTTCCGTGGAAGAGCTGGGGAATCCAACCCTTGTGTCCTGAGTCCTAGTTCATCCCTCTATCCACCACACCACACTGGGTGCACAACAAAGTGTGGCATTTGAAGAGAAACAGTCTGCACACATCCCAGAAGCTACGATGTGGCCAACCCATTACAAAACGTTTATGTGACAGTGCTCTGATTCCTTGCAGATGCAAACACTGCAACATGCATTCTTATGCCACAGAAGTGAAGGTACAACCCCTCCCCCCCGCCCAAAGCTGGTGAAATCTAGCCAGAACAGCCAATTCTAAGGGATAAACCAGTTCTAAGCAGTTGTAACCCAATCACATTTGTAATCTATTTCTGTTCTATAACAAATAGATCTCTGATTGATAAAATCATGGGTGGGCAACACATGGCCCTCCAAGATGTTACTGCAGTAGAAGCCCAAGCCCACATAGTCATTGGTGTGCACACAGAGGGATGCATGTGTAGCATCTCACCCATGATTGAAGTGAACAGAGAGGGGCTCTGCCCATTGGAAGGCAATACAGTACATTCTGAACTCAGTCATCATCCATTCTTTTTGCAGTGTGCCAGCCTGCAGGCAGCCATTGCTGATGCCGAGCAACGTGGAGAATTGGCCCTGAAAGATGCCAGGATAAAGCTAGCTGAACTGGAGGAGGCTCTAACAAAGGCCAAGGCAGACATGGCCCGCCAGCTGCGTGAATACCAGGAGCTTATGAACGTCAAGTTGGCCCTGGATATAGAGATCGCCACCTACAGGAAGTTGCTGGAAGGAGAGGAGAGCAGGTGGGTGGAAGGCATAATACTACCAAATAAGGTGATTTATCCCATATGGAAAGTGCTTCCCTATGTGTAGGTTTGAAGTACGGAACACTTTGCTTTGGGATACAGAGTTGTGGTCGGGGAACCTGCTCTTTTGTGGAAGCCTTTTGTCTCTTCATGATATCCCAGTTTCTTAATGCTCAAAGTCTACTCCAGGCTTTTGCAATGTGGCACCCTTCCAGACTGAATCAGAGCTTGCCCACAAGGGCATTTGTCCCCTCTCTCTGGTATGCTGATGGTTCACATTGGTCCACTCTTTCTTCCGGTGCTCAGATGTGGAGTCGACCAATTTGTCCCAATCCACACCTTTTTGAACCCCTCTCAGGGAGATCTACTACTTTGGTGTGAGGTGGAGGGCTCCAACGTAGTCTGTTCCCAGTGGGTATGGTCACTTGGAATGGACTAAACAAGAGCATTGCAGCTCTTTACAGTGTCCGTTTCCAGTATCCTGAATCAGCTTATGAGCTGTTTCAATATAGTGGAAATTAAACCCTTACCCTGATCCTGAGGGAGATGAGTTAGGGTCAGGGGAAGTGAAATTATTTTTATTGTGTCTGGTAGATCATCACTGATGTGGTGAATAACTTAGATTAAATTTTTTAAAAATTGTTTTTTTTGCCTCTCTATGTAGTGCTCAATGAAACCAAAGCTATGAGAGTTTCTCAATCAGCAATACACATGCAGGCAAAGAGAAGTACTTTTAAAACAATTTAATTGAAGTGATACATCCCATCAGTGATAATATATAAAAAAATTTACGTCCCCTGACCCTCTGCAGACGATCAAGGGAAGTGTTTAATTGATACAAAGGTCAATATGCCATTCGGATGGGAGCAGCATGCCAAATGGCACATTCCTCCTCTCCTCGACCTCTACTGACTCTTTGCAGCCTGATTTAGCATGGACCAAAATGGCCCTAAGTCTCAACTAGCATAGACAAGAACTGAAGATGATGGATAGTAGTCACAACCATCTAGAAGCAGGAAGCTGGGGAAGACTTGTCTATCCTAGTTCTGGGCTGCTGAAGGTATACTGGATGGGGGAGGGGAGGACTAGATACCAGATTTTAAGACCAATCTTATATACTTTTTGGGACATACTTGTTTTTTGTTTATATGTCAAAGTTTGGAAAAGTGACCAGTAATTTTTTCCTTTTGCATGATAATCTTCATAGTATGTTGTCTTCAGGCACAAGAGCCTAATTAACATACTTAGATCCCATTGACACCTTCTAGATGTTTTGGCCCATCAGATGCTTTAGATGATAAGGCCGAGCAGCCTCCAGCCAGCATGATTGGATATTGGGATATGTAGTACAAAAACGTCTGCAAAAAAAGGCCCAGTCCGTGGTAATGATAGGCATCTGATTTAATGCTTCTGGCCTCCACCACTAAAGGATAGTGGTGATGGCAAGATTATTTAATCAGCTAATGTTGTACATAGATCAGATTTCGTCTGATCAGGATCCACCAGTCACAAGAAATTCACTCCAAGAATCTCTTGCGATGCCAAGGACTGTGAATTGGCATTCGCTGTCGCACTGAAAGATGAGAAGCAGACCGAATCAAAGTATAACTGGACTTCCCACTACTAGCTGTTTCAGGAGCATAAAGCTCTTAAGCCTTGGCGTTGTTTCAAAGAAGGACACCCAAGACTGGTGTCTTTGCATGGCATCTAGGAACAGGGGCCCCTTGCTGATCCTCAGTAGGTATTGCTCAATACCCATTGAGGCCCATACTCAGAAGAGACTTGTGGCTAATTTTTCACCATGTTTTTGCAGCCACTGCTATGTGACTGTTGCTGTTCCTGGACATTACATTTGAGAAAACGGAGATGGCAAACACTTGTAGGGTCACTTCAGTCAGCACACTGCTTAGGGCCCCTTCTCTCTTAAAGCCAGCTCTGATATTGCAAAAGACCCATGCGTGCAGAGCTCATTGTGCACTGAAGACCAAATCTTTACTAATGTGACAAACAAGCATTTCATGTGATATAATAACATTATTAGATTTGGATGTTTCTGTAAAACAACTTCTAAAACCTATTGCTGTCCTTCAATATTGTAGTTGTTAACAATAATCTTTTTCCCCCTTTCTCATACAGGCTTGCTGGAGAGGGTGTTGGTGCAGTAAATATCTGTAAGTAATAAGAGGATGAAAGAAATTCAGTAAATTACAAGTTACTCTACATCCATGAATTATGTCAGTGGTTCCCCATCCTGGGTAAGCCAGGTGTTCAGGAACTGCAACTCCCAGAAACCTTCACCACCAGCTGTGCTGGCCAGGGTTTCTGGGAGTTGTAGTCCAAGAACACCTGGGGTTACCCAAGGTTGAGCACCACTGAATTATGTCATTGATCTCCCTTCCTTCCACCCGTCTTTCCTAATTAAAAATGGAGTAAAATAAATTACAGTTTTAAAGTAATTTAAAAAAAATACCTAAAGAGGTCCATAGGCTCTGTTTGTAGAACTAAGGAGATGCAGAAGGCCCTTCAAAGGTTATCCTAATTCTTATGAAACCATTTAGCTCCTTTTCTTCATATTCCTCAGATGTTTAATTTGAAGCCCTCTCCAAATTTGCTTCAAACTTTCCTTTAATAATAATCATCTGTCATCAAATTAATTCTGACATGGCAACCCTTTTTCAGGGTTTTCCAGGTGGAGAGTACTCAGAAGTGGTTTATCATTCCTTTCTTCTGGGGACGTTCTGGGACTTTGCAGCTTGGCCAAAGCCACACAGACTGGCTCTTCTCTCAGGAATCATAGTGGGGAGTTGAACTTCCAACCTCTGGGTTCTGTAGGCAACCTCAAATAGCAGCCTCAGTACACGTGGAACCTTTTTGCTTTCTTCATAGTATTTCAGAAGTTTGGCCTCAGGAAGAAATCCACCACTAATCCACCTCAAAAAGTCACTTTAGGCCAAGGGGTGAGCAGTGTGTGACCTTCCAGATTCTGATGAAATATAAGCTTTTGTTCCCTCACCATTGCCCACGCTGCTCAGAAGTGTGGTCCAAAGCCATCTGAAGGGTCACAGTTGTCCATCTTTGCTTTTGGCCAAGAAGAGACACCAAATTTTTAAACTCCAGCTCCCATTAATTCCAGCTAGCATGGATTTGTAAAGCAACGAAGTCTGGAGGGGGGGGCACAGGTTCCCCATGTTCCACAAATGCCATGAGAAACTAACAACATAGATATTGTCTTGTTAGATCATATCAGGGATCCAACTGGCCCACCCTCCCTTGTCCATCAGTGAACATCCAGATGCCTTTAGGAAGCCCATAAGCCCACCTGAGGGCAACCAGACCCTCCTGTTACTGTTTCTCAGAAGCTGATATTCATTAGTGTCCTGCATACCCTAGAGAGGACTAAGGACACTATATATATGACAAGTCAGTGTATCATCATCAGAAGGAAATATATAGAATGTTCACAGTAGAAGGTTTTCCCACCTGACATAATCTGCAAATTAGCTTCTTTTGTTTTGTAATTAGTCTGTGGGATCTAAATAAGGCTTTGTTTCAAAGCCTGGTTTCTCAAACCCCAGAAGAATTTCCTAAATGACATCTCAGGATAAACTCTCTGGAGCACTAACATGATTTCAGCCCTACTGATGGCTTATCTGTAGTAGAGGGGAAACTCACCAACAAGGTAGAATGAGTGACAGCCATCCTACTGTTTGTCTCCAGCTTGTGACAATCCAAGTTACATAACCATCTCAGGACATGAAGGTTTTCTTTCTAGCTGTCATGGTTGAGAGCCATTCATAACAGATCTATCTCCCATAAAGTTCTCCTGAAATAACCAAGCAAAGCTATTTTGTCAGTGAGTGGTATTCTAGTCTTGGCAAGTAGAACAAAGCTGGATATTTCTGATGCTTTGACCAGACAAAACATTTCCTTATTTTTTTTTTTTACAAAAACAAAGCAAAGCAAAACAAAACAAACCCCAAAGGAATGTGTTGTGTTTCTGATCCTGCAGAAGAGAAGTTATTTTAGAACACTCTTTAGGGGTGGGGATGTGGAAATGAATGAAACCCAGCCCTGCAGTCCTTCAAGCAGTATCTACGCAAACTGTTTATGCAGCTTTTCTGCCTCAGATGGAGAGAAGAGGAAAAAGGACTGTATTTTGCAAGCTATAAAGCATTAAAGGGCAACTGCTGGAATTGGCTACGCCAAAGTTTGTTACAAGCATAGGTGATATGTAGTGGGTTGTGAAGGCTCACGCCCTAAGCAGTTCGAGAGTATCAAATCCAAATAATAAGGCAAAGTTGTAGGCAATATGTCATGCAACATCAAAAAAAGGAAAGCCAGTGGAGAAAGGGCTTTGTGATCGAAATATTTTGAGGCTTGTTGGCTTCCCCTTGGTTCACAGCATAGTGTTCAGGATCCCATGGGTGAACGGTCTTTGCTCCCCTTACCATGAGCAGGAGCTGACTTTTGCTCATGCCATCATGTCCAGACATTGCCTGCACATGGCAACTGAGGGACTAAGGTTTGCTCAGATATATTGTTTCCAGTAGATACCATGCACCCTCTGAGATGGTTATGTAAAACAGCCCCCAAGGTGTGGGTAAAATGTTTGCCCCAAACACCCATGGAAGTCTTCACCACCACCACCACCCCAATTAAAAACATGCTCACAAACAAAGAAACAAGCCCAGAAGCATCTGAATGTTCACATCCTCTTTTGATTTGGGGGTTTGGGTTGGGAAATCCCTCTACCCTGTTTTATATAAAAAGCATTGCTACTGGAAACCTCCAAGGGGGTGGGGAGGGATGTGTATGGCTGAGAACAGGAACCCCCACCAAATTATTCTGGGTGACAGAGCTGCCTCTAATGGGCACATGCAGCCTGTTTACCTTACTTTGTTCACCTTTGCCCCAAGTATAATTACATATACCTTTACTAAAGAGTACATTCCACAGAATTTAGGGGGACTCTGGAGTAAAATACACGTGGGACCAAGACTGTACCTTTACTAAGCATGTGGTAATCGTGGCCTCCCTGAAGATTTGTCTGGAGGAAGAAGCTAAAACCACGTCCTTCATTTCTAAAGCTGGGGAGGTTCCCTCCTGCCTTCTCCCCTTTTCCTTCCTTCGGCCCATGTTTTCACGGGCCTCACTCTAACACCCACCCCCCAAAAAAGCTGCTGCCCTGTGAACACACTGATCTTCTGCTTTTATTTCTTTACAGCTGTGGTCCACTCTTCTGGAGGCATGAACTACGGTGGTGGGAGTGCCATGGGAGTCACCGGTGGAGCTGGCCTTGGCTACGGAGGAGGCCTCAGCATGGGAGGAGGCGGCAGCAGCATCAGCTCTGCCAGTGGGCGGGGGCTCATGGGAAGCATGGGCTCGGCCATGGGCAGCAGCAGCTCCAGTATGAAAATTGTATCCAAAACATCCACAACTAGAAAAAGCTACCAGAACTAAAGGGTTTAGCAAAGTGAGGGGCGGGCCAAGTGCAGCTCAGGCCAGATGTTGTTGGACTGCAACTCCCAGCATCCATCAAACCTTGGTACAGCTGCCTGCTAGGGCTGGGCTTTGCTCCCCCCTCAAATAATTCAAGTGCCTCTCAGGGGCAAAACTGGCCATGACGGTGAGAGGACTACACATAAGAGCCTCCTCACCACCAAATTCTAGAAAGATGGGAATAGGTGGTCTTCCAGTCCATGTTGGATGCCAGCTCTCACCAACAGGTGAGAGGAATGATGGGAGTTGCAGTCCAATGACATCCGGAGGGCCATATGGTCCCCTGTCCTTTCTGTAAAGCAAGGAGCTGAGAGGAAACTGAATGCATAGCATGGATCCGGGGGGGGCATTGAGTCCTCACTCTTTTTTTGCCCCTAAAAAGACACATTGACACACACCAGCTTCTCCAGAAGTCAGAGTTAAGAAGGTGCTTCTGCTAGGAGAAAGCCAGGTGGGAAGAACCACTTTGTGGGTGGGAACCACAAATACAGTGGTGCCTCGCTTAATGATTGCCTCGTTAAACGACGACACCTCTTGACGATGAAGTTTTTGTGATCGCAAAACAATGTTCATATGGGGAAAATTCGCTTAACGATGATCGGTTCCCTGCTTCGGGAACTGATTTTTCGCTAAACGACAATTTA